GAGCCTTAACATCTACACACTAGCGTCTAGACTGCCAGTGCAAGTCCGAGGATCGGAGGATCGTGGATCACATCAGTAGATCACCCCCCACCACCGCACCATGTCGTACGCTTCCGAATCATACCGGCGCATCAGCATAGCTTATCTAACTGTTCGCGATAAATTGTTATCTGTATCACTGTCACTGTCAAAACGTATAATTTGTAGATTAAATTTGAATTAAATATAATTAAACTATCATAACCTAACCAAACTTGCTGATAATGATAAACTCGAATGAAGGTTTACTAATCGAAAAATAGCTCTGTTCTAAAAACAAAATTATAAATGTCTCAAATTCAATTTTACAATCTTTTAATTATAAAATTAAACCGTCATAACCTAACCAAACCAACCAAACTTGCTGATATGAAAAAAATTGTTGACAAAAAGTTAGTGCTCCCGGTGGGATTCGAACCCGGCACCTTCATATTATCAGCCCGACACGCTATCCACTACACCACAAAGGCTCATGACTCAGTTCCGTCATAGACAAAAAGAATTAAATATAGACTGTCAGCCGTGCTGCGGTTACCATGGTTACCATAGGTTCCGGCGCACACCGCTGTAGTTTACGTAGCGCGTACGCCGTAAATACATGGCGCTCCAAGCGGTGTGCGCCAGAAGCTATGGTAACCGCAGCACAGCTGATGGTCTATATTTAATTCTTTTTGTCTATGGTTCCGTATCGTTGCAGTAATGGTTGACGTCACGCCATCGGCACTGAGCGGTGGTGGGGGGTTTTTCGATCTGATCCTCGATCCTACCGATCCTAGGAGTTGCACTGGCAGTCTAGATGCTTATCATCTACACAGCTTCCATATATTCCTCCAATGAGAAGAAAGCCTTCTCCAAAAGAAAGTTTTTTAACTTCTTTTTGAATTTAAGGAATGAATCAGTGTCCCTAATTGAAGAAGGTAATTTGTTATATATTTTTGGGCCCATGTACTGAGGAGATAAATGGAATACTTTAAGTCTGTGTTGAACTGGTTTTATATTGTTTTTAAATCTAGTGTTATGAGGATGTTCATGTTGATCTTCCATGAATGTGTCAAAATCACTTTTAACTTTTAACCATTAAAGCCACCATTTATCCACTAATAACTGGAAAGAATAAGAATGAACATCTAAGAAATTTAAGAGAGGTTTTGAAACGAATGAAAGAAGCTGGTATAAAAGCAAAATCTAGCAAATGCAAATTTTTTGAAGAGTCAGTAACTTACTTGGGACATACAATCGACTGAAATGGATTACATCCTACTGAAGAAAAAATAAAAGCCATACGAGAGGCACGGTCACCTACTAATGTCAAGGAACTCCGATCATTTTTAGGTTCTATTAACTACTATGAACGATTTATTCCGGGACTTCATGCCATTTGTAGTGATCTCCATAAGCTGACTGGAACTAACTCTAAATGGAAATGGTCTGAACAAGAAGAGGTGACGTTTAAAAGAGTAAAGGAAATTCTATCAAGTAAAGACACAGTAGTACCATATGAAGAAATGAGACCATTGGTAATGGTCTGTGATGCATCAGAAAATGGATTGGGAAGTGTACTAATGCACAGATTCGAAAATGGACTAGAAAGACCAATTGCTTTTGCAAGTCGCACACTACTGCCTGCTGAAAAACAATATTCAAATATCGACAGAGAAGCACTAGCTATTATCTTTGGACTCAGGAAATTCCATCAATATGTATATGGTCGGAAGTTCATTTTGGTAACCGACCACAAACCTCTACAACGGATATTTGGAAAAATGCGAGATCTCCCAAAAGTAGTAAATAGCCGTTTAGTGAGGTGGGCTCTCCAGTTTAATCAATACAACTATGACATAGAGTACAGAAAAGGAGAAGATAACGTGTGTGCTGATGTTCTATCAAGACTTCCGATTGAAGAAGATCAACCTGAGGAGGCTCACATTGGTTTTTTGAATGTGATAAGGTTAACACTACAGTATCATGTCTTATGGCCTTTTAAAACAAAATTCATTGACAGATAAAGCTATTAGAATGGCAAAAAAAGTCGTACAAATAGAGAAAAGATTAATTGAATGTTGAAGATGATATATTATTGAGGTTTGGAAGAATCGTAGTTCCAGAATGCATGAGAACTGATGTTCTGAAGATATTGCATGCAGGACATCCTGGTATTGCATCAATGAGGTCTGTTGCGCGACACTTCAATGAGGTCTGTTGCGCGACACTATGTGTGGTGGTCCAACATGGATAAAGATATCGAAGTTTATATCAAGAAGTGTACATCTTGTCAAGAGAATAGAGATAATGTGAAATCTTAAATATAAATGCTATCAGTAATATAGGACATTAATAGAATATACAAATTATTAAACATTCAGTTTAATTGGTTCTAAATAATTAAACCTCTACGAAATTAAGCTAAAATAAACGCAAGTTCTCAAACACGGAAAACAAATTTAATCGTAATTTGGTAATAAACCAAAACCATTAATTAATACAGTCATCAACCATCGTAACTGTCATACTAATTCATAGATTTAAAATTAAAGTTACGTCGTTGAATCGTCCAACTTACGTGTAAAAATATGACATAGACTACGTTTAATATCAATTCATAGCTAGAATAGCTGTAGGCCTAAATCTATGCCTAATAGTTTCAGCCAATGCATTGTAGGCCTACTAGTAAATAGTTGCCTAATTCTAAAATGTGTTGAATTTTTTTTGTAATAATGTTACATGTTTTAATAACAGTTTTTAGATTGTACACCTATGCCTCACTACTAAATAATACAAGAATATATAATATTCTCATATTAAAACGTGACAGGGTTATTTTAATTCACGATTCTTAATCAACGACTTGACGGATTTTCCTGATTTTAGTGTTGGGGTTCCTTTATATTGCTTTTACAATCAAAATAAACTATACCAAGCCATTGCTCGGGTCCCCGTTCCCCAGTACTGAGCTACTCAATAGACAATAGCTTTGTTGTTGGATAAGATCAGGTAATTTTAGCTATGGCCACCATTCATAAAAATGGTAACAAACAAGAACGCCTGGATCCATTTAGAACCATAAAAACTCCAGACTTTTTAAAAGTAGTCCTACCGAAATACGTAAAATTAATATTAATTAAACAAAATTATGAGGATGACCCAGGTTAGCCTACGATAACAGAAATTTAAAAATTGTATTTATGCATAGACTAATTTTTAATGAAATCCATTAATACATTACCACTTTAAAATGTATTTAAAAATATATAACTACTACAATATATTTCTGTAATGACGTTTAACAAGTAAATTTAATCGGGCGGGTAGGTAATCCTCAAAATTCTAGGCATAAAGTCTACGGCGATTACTGGAGCTTTTTTAAAAAAAAAATGATTAAACAAAAAGGTAGAGTAGACTGGAACAGTTGTAGTAATCTATATATCAAGTTTGTGTGTTTGAAGTTCAATCACGCACAAACCACTGGACGGATTGGGCTGAAATTTTGCATGATGATAGCTTACATTCCCGATTAACATATAGGCATATTCTTATCTCAAAAATCCTTTCGGGCTCCGCCCCAGTGGCCCTGTAATTCCCCATGTTAACCTTATGAGTATTCATGTTTAAAGGGAATTAAAGAATTTTGTCAGCTGTTTCAACTAAAAAAGATGGTTCTATGATATGGAAAAGCATTAAACAATTTTAAGATTTACCAACAGGGTGCAGCACTATATTTTTTTGCATTTATGAAAACAGCTAATTTGAACTAAGCAGCAACAAAAAACTGTGATTTGCAATGAGAACTGTCAAAGTAGGAATGTTTACAGTTATGTTTATGTTTTTAATTTCATGAATAATTTGTGATATTTTGCGAATTGTTGATCATTTATTTTTCTCTATTGTTTAGGTAAAGTGGTAGAACATTATGGCTATGGTAGATGTGTAATACTATAGAATACTGTAAATTTAAAAAAGCAAATTTTATCAAACTGTGTCCTCCCTTATTGCAAACGCAAAGCTTGAGTATAACTGCAATAAGCATTTTATACTTATATTCCAACCCCATACGAAGGACGGGTACTCTGCTAGTATATATATAAGGCAAAGCCCTCACTGACTCACTCATCACTAATTCTCCCACTTCCCATTTACCTAGGAGGCTGAAATTCGGTACACCGATTCTTTGGACATTAAATAGGAAAACTAAGTAGTTTTTATTCTGATCGGGCTTTCAGGCACCGCCCCAGTGGCTCTGGAGTTTCCCATGTTAACCTTATGAGTACTCATATTTAAATGGAATTAAAGAATCTTAACAGCTAGAGTTAATAGGTTTACCCAAAAGGGTGCAGCACTATTATTTTTTTACATTTATGACAACAGCTTGCAACCAAAAGGTGAGTGAGTGTAGCGAACAAACTTCAACCTGGAGGCGAGTTAGCGTAGCAAACGAGCTAACCTGAAGGCAAGTGAGCGCAGCGAACGAGCTCCAACCTAAAGGTGAGTAAGCGTAGCAAACGAACTTCAATCAGGACGTGATTGAGCCATGCGAACGAGCTCATCTTGAAAATTAAGAAGTTAAATGGGGCAAAGCCCGCGGGTAAAGCTAGCTTACCCTTTTAGTATAAAACAGAAACCCCAATTTTGAAAACCCTTAAGATTGTCTTACCTGGTCCCAAGGCCAAAGGTTTTGGGCCCACCTCCTCCAGCAAGACCCTGACCTCCAGCACACCACAATAACCACCATACACAAAACTGACCCCCTGATCAACTGCACTGGCCTACTTAAAGCAACAGCCTTCTGTAGGCAAGCACAACAAGTTATTATTTAACAATACTTCTAGCCTACTTGCACAACATTGCCAAACACTTCCCCTTCACAATATTTGACCCCTCCTATTACAGTTGTCTTCTTCTTGCTCTCTACTGATATCTCTGTCAGTCTCACTACCTACCCCACTGTCTACTAGTTTTGTACTTACAATGATTGTTCCGTTGGACATAGGACTGCTGGGGATGGACTGGCTGTGGTTGGAGGTGGGGGAGTTGATCTCACTATCACTGTTGTCTTCTTCTTGCTCTCTACTGATGTCTCTGTCTCCCTCACTGCCCATTCCACTATCCGGGTACTCTCCTAAAAGACATTTCAAAGTTGCAATAACAATATTTTTTATAGTGTAACCTACGTACAGGACTGAGCTTTTAGCGATTTTCCCATAAATAAGGAATAAGCTATTATCGTAGGTCTCATGGTAAGACCTAGACCCGGGACCAATTTACTTTTTCGTTTTGAGGTACCCAAAGGCTAATGACACTCTCCGTTCGAATTCATATATATATATATATATGTATACTTTTGTACCCACCCGGAGAGGCAGTCACCGCGCTGGTAATTTACTCGGTGTGGCAGTCACCCGCCCGAAAGCCAGTCAGCTCTCCCAAAAGCCAGTCAGGTATGGCTTCCCGTGCACTTTATACGTTTGAAAACAGCTTAACCGGTGCTGCTGCCTGTGTCGATAAGCGTAACTGCAATACCAATGCGAAGACTGTCTCATCGTGTGTTCTGTCGTGGAGTAGTGTAGCCAGTACGGCACCCTCCTCGCCTACTTTGTAGCGGTAACACCCAGCGGTCGGTAACCTTCGTTTACTCCTTGTTACTATTGATGTTGGGATAGTGATTAAATACGTGTTAATGTTTAAACATGTTCATATTCCAAATGAAGATGATGCACCTCTAATAAGGAACTACGAATATTAATTAATTATAAATGGTTGAATCTTAAAAACCTACCCGGTCATCATCCCAAATTATAAGTTTTATTTTTTTTACCTTCAGTAGAAATTTTAGTCAATATCTCCTTTATTCACGTACAATATTTACAGTGTGTCCACGGACCGGGAAGATCGGGAATTATACGGATTTTACGTGAATCTTCTCCGAGATACGGAAACTGTTTTTTTACGCTATTGCGTAACGCGAAGGAGGAACTATTACATGTGGCAACGATATTATTCTATCTTATAAGAATAACTACGGAACTACACTCGATAGATAAAAGATGTTTATAATAATTTTAATTTTACAAACAAACCATTACAGGAATTCTATTTTGGGAGGGATGAAAGATTAAGGAAGCAACAAAAAGTGGTCACGAGTGCTAATACGGGGGGAGGGGTACACCATGACAAACGCCAGAAACGATTATTTGTTTACTTTTCAGATTCCTTATCAAATCTCTCTCTCTCTCTCTTTCTCTCCCTCCCTCTCTCTCACTCCCCCCCCCTCTCTCTCTCTCTAACGATGTACAGTTTGTGAACTTTACTATTTAAGTTTCCCTGAAATTATTTCAGTTCAATCCTATACCTATCCTTATGGTTTCCTTTCTATTGTTTTTTTTTTTAAATAAATAGTAAAGCTGGCTAGACTATTTTTTTATTTTGTTTTCTTGAAACCAAACACTCTTTACCATCCGGTATTCTGCAGAGTAAAATGTTTAACACTTTGTTTATAAAAATTGAACGGCCTCACAATTTTGTGTTTTATTTTTTTTTTAAGTAATAGTAACTTGGATATTTATATATACCAATAAGTGCTGCAAGCTGTAATGAATGCTTCTGTTTAATATCAAAATAAGCTATGAATTAATTTTTGATAATACATCGGCCATCAAATACCAACTATAAAGTGATGGGGTTTTCTATTTGAAGCTTAAACTTGCAAATACATTAGAACCTCGCTCAACTGGGATCGGATCAACATGATGCCTATATATTATATAACCTCAGAAATCCCAAGAAAATGTTTTATGAATTGTGTTTTTCAGTCTAATATTTCGATATGAACTATATATCTATTTACGGCAATTTTTATCTGCAGTAGGTTCCCCATTAATGAAACATTACAGTTCATTTGACAAAAATAAGAAAACAAAAATAAGGAAGCAAAACGGAGAAATATCGATCAGTAGCTTCAAGGTCAAGCTACACGCTCGCACCTACAGACTGACAATCTTGCACTGACACTGACATACTGACAATCGTCTGCTCCTGTCTGCTGTCACAACACTACAACATTTTGTGGTTGGGTCGTTGGGTGATTAGTAACCATGATGATAACTTGTGGATGGAAAGAAACCAAAGAAAGAATAGAACAAAGAGAAATAATAAAAGGGGTTTTACATCATTGTTATCTTTATCTTATTTTTATCACTGTTGTTATTACCAGAAAGACTTTAAGTACAGTACTATGATTTTATAATGTTTTATGAGTTATTTAATATTTTTATCACCATACTTCTGTTCTGAAACATCATGTAGTAGTAGCATATGATGACTACGGTATCAGTAGTCTACTAGTCTATATTTCCTTTTGTTTTGTTATTTACGTGTTTTATTGCTGTACATTAAGCAAGTTTAGTTTTGTTTGAGTAAGCACACGGTGTAGTTTTTATTACTGAACCAAGTTTAATGACATAACATATCATGGTTGCGCAATACCTATTGTATTTTGACTAAGTAAAATGCAAATTTATAATCACGTTAACGTCCATTTTTACAGAGTGTCCCGGAACGGCATTGTTCCTGAATTATCACATATCTAAATATCATATTTAAATTTTCCAGAAGTCCGTAGTTACTTACACAGCTAAAGATTTTTGGGCCTAAATCATTTGAAACCTGTACATAACATATTTTTGGTCGAGTTTTCGACCACTGGACGACCACTAGTTAAATATAATTGTATTACAACAATCTTTCAATATAAGCTTGAATCGGACTTATCTGCCTTCAGCTAATCCATCATATGATAGTACGTTAGAGAGTATGCCCATGCTGAAGTTTTCTTATACTTGAAGAATGACTTAATTTAGTACTAAGAAATAAATCACACCTCTTTCATACACTGTACTATGCTGTTTTAATGCTTTGTAGCGGACATATTTTGATCCAGTGGTGGGTGTTTGGTGTTTTGAATACGAATACTGAATGGCTCGTTTTAAGATCGTATCATTACGAATCGTATCATTTTAGGATTTTCTTACACGAGAAATGCATTTTCCATTTTTAAATTACTCAGGTACAAATTTTATGAAATAACATTATTGCATTGTTTGACAATAATAATTGTGCTTAGGAACTGAAATAAAATTCAGGAGGTCAGTTATCAAACATACAATAGCCTTAAATAACGTTAAAGTACAGTATTACTAATTGACGTTAAACAAAACCAGTAGTCGATATTTAGGTTTGTTGCACTATATTTAGACACTTTACTTTATTTTGGTAAATTTTAATTACGTTACTGATCAAAAACGCAAACTGCGGACTTGCATTTGCTATTTTATATTCAGGTCGGATTTATTTAAAACTAAACAAATACGAACTCATTCGTGGTCCAAAAATCCCCCTCTTCCAAGTAAGGCTATAACGGCACATTACAAAACGAGAAAGTTGAAATTCTCAGAACTCATCTGAATGTTCGTCTACCTCTTGGCGCATCCCTTGCAGTGATTCAATGGTGTCAGACTCCGACCAGCTTGTCGTGTGTCGAGTGCTCGAAACTGTGCAAATTTGACTAGTAGAGTAGCAGTCATCTTCTATAGAAATAAAATTACAGTTTTGTCTGTCCATTGCGTAGAATCATGCAGTTTTTTGGTTATTTTTACGTTTCATAGCCTAAGAAAGCCGAAACGAGTATCATCTCAATTTCTGTCTGTCTGTCTTTCTGTCATTCTGTATGTACCGACAAAATGTAAATTTACGCTGCCTACTCCGAGAAAACTAGATTACGGTATGCTACAGTATGAACATCTACCATATCCATAATAATGTTCTACCGCTGCATCTAAACAGCAGAAAAAAGTAAATCACCAAAGATTTGCACAATACGACAAATTATTTATAAATAAAAAAACATAAGCATAACTGTAAACAATCCTATTTTGTCACTTCCAATTGTGTATCAAAGGTTTTTGTTGCGGCTTGGTTCAAATTAGCTGTTGTCATAAATGAAAAAAAAAATAATAATAGTGCTGCACTCTATTGGTAAACCCTATAAATCCTTAATGCTTTTGAATATCATAGAACCAACTTGTGTAATTGAAACAACAGGTAAAATTCTTTAATTGATTTCAAATATGAATACTGATAAAGTTAACATGGGAATTCCCAGGGCCACTAGGGTGGAGCCCGAAAGGATCTGAGCCCGAAAGGATCTTTGAGATAAGAGTATGTCTATATGTTAATCTGGAATGTGAGCTATATTCATATCGAATTCCAGCTCAATCTGACCAGTAATTAATGCGTAATTGAACTTCAAACAAACAAACACTCAAACTTTCACATTTATAATGTTAGTAAGGTTAGTAAGATAGGATGTATTAATTATATTGATTACTAGCTGTGTGCCCGTTCTACGCACGAAGATCTTATAGTGGTCAGTTACCTATATAAAGAACAGCAGATGGTTCGCATATTTTCAGATATACTGGCCAAACTATTATACAGGGTGGCTGAAAAGTAACTTGCACCCCCACTTAACTTTTCAACCATTTGAGATATTTGAAATCGGTTTGCGGCAACCTTCTTAAATATGAGGGGCTACAATAATTATAGTCAATTTTGAAAATTTTGCCCATAGGGGTAGCGGGGGTAGGGGGTAGCTCAAAATTTTCAAATGACAAGTATAGTCGAGTTTGGTATCATTTTACAGGTCTTGACAAAACATAAACATTGACATAAAGAAAACTAAAATTGGTTTACTAATAACAAAATGGCGCCCTAAAACGTTTCAAATCCAAATAACCATGAGGGTGGCAAAAAAATTAACTTGCACCCTCTTTAACTTTGTTACTATTTGAGATATTTAAAATCGGTTTGCGGCAACTTGTTTGGATATGAAGGGCTACAATAATAATGGTCAGTTTTGAAAATTTTGCCCTTAGGGGTAGTGGTGGTTAGGGATAGCTCAAAATTTTAAAATAGCAAGTATAGTCGAGTTTGGTATCATTTTTTAGGTCTCGACAAAACATAACAATTAACATAAAGAAAATAGAAATCAGACAATTATTAACAAAATGGCAGTTCAAAATTACTTTAAATAACCATTGCCTAAATCATTTTTAGCTGCCATTT